GCAACTGAAAGACATTAGCCTTATGAATATATACAATGGAGTCTGATTAAATGAAACACACTTTATCCCAAGTGTTGAAGTGAAAGAAAGGGAAATCCCTAGTTTTGTTTACTTCATGAGAGGAAATTGTTCAGGAATCAGAGAACACAGGTGGAAGGCTGTCATTATTTATAGGGATTTGACTAACCTCTCTACACTATGAGTCTGAATAAAAGGAACAAAATCCGGTGGTCCCACAGATTTCAGTGTAAGCAGAAGTCGCTGCACATACGAGTTTTCAAGCAATGAAACCCTTGAGATTTGAGAGCCCACGAAGAAAAATAATAATGAAAACGTCAGCGCGTTTAGCAACCAAGGGAAGCGACTGAGAATAAAAGAAGGTACGTTTAATACTCGGTTATTTCCCCTGGCAGAGGAATTGCTTTGGTTACGTCCCCTTGTCATGTTCCGCAACATTCTTGTTACAATTTTTACAGCGATAAAAAAATGAGTCTTTTAGGAATTAGTTGCAACAAGAAGTATCCACACGAGAGTGCCAAATGGCATTTGTCAAACAAATCTTGTAACTTTCCATGTTCTCACCTCAATAAATTGGTCAAACTTGTGGGAGGCCGGTTACATGCGGCACAGTTCTGTCAGGTCTGAAAATAGAAGAATGAAAGGAAATTGTTCAGGAAGTACAAGTATTATTGTATTGCTATGCTCTGTTGTTGCTTTCTGTTGCATTGTTTGGGTGGAGTTGCACTGCACAATGATGGGTGTTGACAGCCCACACATTTGTTGTATATCGAGTGTTTGGGAGATGATGGGAGAACTGGGGTCATGGATTAAAAAAGAAAGAAGAGGTACAAAATGGAATGTTTATAGAGTGTTTGAATTAATGCTAGGTGTTCGTTTCAATTGCATTTTCAGTTTGTGTTAAGTGCTGCAGTGGTCGTAGCTTCTGTATTGTTATTAATTTTAAGTTCAAAATTATTTTTATTTTCCCAGCTTTGTAAAGATTCTACATTGTATAGTAGTCGTGGGGGCTCTCGTGGCCCAGAGCTTAAGGTGTTCCCTCCCCTCTCATTCAAAGGTCCCGGGTTTGAATCCGGGTAGGGATGAAAAAGGTTTGTTCTCTGAAATTGTCTCCTTTCACCTCCTTTCCTGCTCTTTCGCGATGTTCTGTCGTCTACTTTCGTCTCCACTCTCTGCCCCCACCCCTTTCACCTCCTTTGCCCCCTCCTCTGGGCTCCTGACTCTTTCTGCAGCCTTTCTATTGCTACTCCTTGGCTCCTTCTTACTGCTGTGTTTCAGCCACACCCCTGATCTTCTGGTATGAAAGATCTACACCTAGCCTTCTCGGACAAGAGAAAAATCTTGGAGGGCCCATGTGCAAGTTGTGCACGTTAAAGATCCTTCGGTGGTCTAAAATCGATAAGAGTAGGCTTCGGCCGCCACCCTGGCAAAATTCAAAATTTCCTACCAAATGAAAATGTCAAATGTGTCCCGCATACTCTTATGACCTTATGCAGTTGCGAGCGCTGTAAATCACTTACCAACCCCCCCCAAAAAAAACCCAACAACAACAACAAAAACAACCAAATACAATGTAGCAGTCCTGTTCCCTTCACTGCCCCGTAGTTTTATTTTCTTATCGGTATTTGGCACTGTTGTTCATCTTTGCCCATTTTGTTTGTCTTTTGTTATCAGCCTCCTGGTCCAGGTGGGGGACAGATGCCTATGCCAAACAGTATGGAACCCAGGCCAGGTAAGCCATAGGCTCATCACACAAGCCACAGCCGTGGAACAAAAGTTTATCAACACACGTATTCTCTTTACAAACATACTTCCATGGAGTTCCTACACTCTTCCTGTGGTGCTTTAAATTAAACATATACACAATATAGATATTTTAACAACACCCCC